TGGGTAAGACGCTGGCGTGGTTCCCCTTTGTCAGTGATACAAGACGGAGGGCCCGTGTACACATTGGCGTGCACGTAAAAGATCCCTTGGCAGTTGGAATTCGATATAAGAGTAAACCGTAGCGCCGCTGCACGGGCAAAATTTCCCTCATAGCACACTGTATGGCGTATGCCCGTCTTCATTAACCCAGGTTAGGAGCAGAACAGTAGGACGTTAAACCCCATTTCATTTCATTTTCCCCCCCTTGTCAGTGGTGCAGGGCGGAACGGGCGATAAACCGATGTCAGAGGTATGTACACACTAGCGTGCACGTAAAAAACACTTTGTTGAAATGCGATATAAGAGTAGGCCGTAGTGCCATATGTCCGTCTCATTAGCCTAGTCGGAGCAAAACAGCAGGACGTTAAACCCCGTTTCATTTCATTTGATTTCCAAGATGATCATAATTATTATGACAGAACGATAGAGGGATAGAGAAAGAGAGAGGTATGGGGGTTTAAAGTTCATTCGACACAAACCAAGTCTTCTTTTCGGGACTAATATATAGTGATTTTTTTTAATTTAATAGCCAGTCCCGCGGGAGGAACCCGGAGAAGCTGTCCGTAAGCCAATGGATTTGGGGAGGCGACCCTACTTCTTTATCCAGCAACACGCTTGAAATAAACAAAGAAATTTATGTTTCAGGGTCGTCTTATAAGCACGGGTAAGCAGCGCACTGAGGCCCCTACCTACAAAACAACTTATAAATTATAACAAGATCAATGGTCGATAATATCAATTATAACAGGATGGATAATATCAATTATAACAGGATGGATAATATCAATTATAACAGGATCAATGGTCGATAATATCAAATTATAACAGGATCAATGGTTGATAATATCAATTATAACAGAATCAATGGTGGATAATATCAATTATAACAAGATCAATGGTCGATAATATCAATTATAACAGGATGGATAATATCAATTACAACAGGATCAATGGAGGATAATATCAATTATAACAAGATCAATGGTCGATAATATCAATTATAACAGGATGGATAATATCAATTACAACAGGACGGATAATATCAATTATAACGAGATCAATTGAGGATAATATCAATTATAACAGGATCAATGGTGGATAATATAAATTATAACAGGATCATTGGTGGATGATATCAATTACAACAGGATCAATGGTCGATAATATCAATTATAACAAGATCAATGGTCGATAATATCAATTATAACAGGATGGATAATATCAATTATAACAGGATGGATAATATCAATTATAACAGGATGGATAATATCAATTATAACAGAATCAATGGTGGATAATATCAAATTATAACAGGATCAATGGTTGATAATATCAATTATAACAGGACGGATAATATCAATTATAACATGATCAATGGTCGACAATATCAATTATAACAAGAGCAATGGTCGACAATATCAATTATAACAGGATGGATAATATCAATTATAGCAGAATCAATGTTTGATAATATTAATTATAACAAGATCAAAAATTGTCGACAATATCAATTATTATACAAAACCGACAAAACGGTTTAATATAAAACATAAGAGAACAGATACCAGGATAAATACGGGTTTGTTAATATATCAATAACCACCATAACAGGTGGATAACCGATGGTCTTATATATACAAATCAATTAAATAATATACAATCTTTATTTCATCCAACTTGGATATATTGACATTCCACTCTAGACACTCCTTTCTTAGTCAGCTGAGTTCCTATAGTTAGCTAATACCGTTATTAATAAATAATAGTCAGGTGATTTGAAAACACTGGAGTTGTTCAATAGTGTATGTACAATTTGAGAAAGATATGGCAAGTCGTCCTAGAGATTAAAATGAGGTTTATGAAGATTGTTACAGATCCGCCGCAAATAGTTTTCAAGACGTTTAGTAGACAATCGTGCAAATGGTTGTGTTCTAACAACTTATATATCGATATTTAGGTCAGTTTCGGGATATATTGAGTATGATAGAATATATTAAAGGGACAATGACACTCTTGCTGGCTTGAAAGCTCCAGAAAATAAATAATATAATATCTAAGTACTAGATGTTTAAGTGTCCTACCTGTTGTGTAAATTATCCATTACATCCTATTTTACTTGTCCAGAGGGTTCGCAAATATTTTTAAATCGAAGTTTCATTTGAAAAGGTTTACGTTAGACGTTTCAAACCATTATGTTGAATTTTTCAAAATTTTTAAATAAGGTGTGTTAAGATGAAATTTGTATCATCAATTAATTGAAATATTCTAAAATGGTACAATTTGTTGACCAGAATAAAGATTGGGAAATATTATTCAGTTACAACAAGAGTGGTATTGAGCCTTTAAACATACATTATGCAATAGCTAAATCTGACTATTGCAGGTCTTTCCTTAGGCCTCAAATGTTATCTAAATTATTATTTAGACATTTATTAACATGAAAAGACCTTAATCAACTCTCGATGTCATCTCTGGACTTGAATCCGATTTGCTGCTTAACACTCATTGAAGATTTAATCCAAAAATGGATCATCGAGACTAGGTCTAAAATTTAATCGCTAATATCTCGGTTCAAAGTGGAACAATTTGACTGAACTTCTCAGCATATTCATTTTACATTATCTAGTGTTTAACTGTTATAGAGAGAACTGTCAGCTCTTTATCTAATCTCTCATAATGTATCTTTATCTAATCTCCTATAAAGATTTAGTGACAATAGCTCTTTAACACTTTTGAAATAAATGACAGAAAAAAATCATTAGCATTCATGATTTGACACTTCCGTTGAAATTTTTAAAAATATATATTTTAATTCTAGTAGACAAAGACAGCACATTTCAATCAATCTGTTCTAATATAACAGTGTTGCTGAACAGAAACTTTGAATATCTTAGCAAAGTGAAATTAAGACACTAATTATGCGTATCTTGTCCTCATAGAATTATTTTAATTACACATTTTCAATAGATACTAATTTTAAATTTTCGCCATTAAATTACTTGAATTCATCGATATACCGGACGATTGTTTATTTGTAGGTCCTCAGGTTTCATTAAGGGAGGGGTGGGGGCGGATCGCTAAAAATGTACGCAGTGGACGTATTGTATTTGTTTCGTTAAAAATTCCTCTTTCATCGTGTCTTGAAATTTAACATTGTCGGGTAAAAAATACCACCACGCTAGGGTAGTTTACCTCCCCTCCCCAAACAATTTTATAGCAGGTAATTTGGTTAGATTTAATTTTGTTTCTCGTAAATTTAAGGTTGTGGGTTTTTAGTATTTCCAGGTAAAGTAAACATGTATTTAAAGGTAAAAAAGACAAAAATCAACCCCATTACACGGAAAATTTAACATGTAGTATATAAAGATAAGTAAGAAACAAATATTGTTCATGTTGATGATTAATTAACCTAAGTTTATTGGTCATTATTCTGAAAGACTTGTTTTATACTTTATGTCCAAGTCCCACTGGTCATTTTTGCCTCGGGTATGTACTACTGATGGAAATTGATGAGCCTCGGAAGTCATCTGGAGAAAATTTGTTTATTTTCACATCGCCGATGATTTTCCCCTTTGGGACCTAGGCATAATTAATGAAGGACTTTTAATAAAAAAAATAGATTTTAAGAAATTCATGCCCCCCCCCCTCCCTAACAAAAAACCTTGTATATTATGATATACATTTGAAAAAAAAAATAATAATTAAGTTTAGAAATAAAGTATAATATCAAATTTACAATTTGTGTTAGAAGCAATATTATTATTCAGATTTGAATTTGATTGGGGATTGTGGAACAACCATGGCGTATAGTAAACCCCTCTCCCTGTCAGATATAGATACATATGTTTACATTTTAGAAATAAATAATCAATGTACACGTGAAAACATGATAACAGTGAGTGTGTTATGTTGCCTCTTGAATGGGTTTATATTTTAAAAATAAGCAAGTAATGTACAAGTGAAAATATAATTACATTGATTGCGTAATAGTTGTCCCTTGAACCGCCTGGTGATTTCGAAAAACGAGTGGACAGTTTTAAAAATATTGAGTGAATTCCGTGCAATAAGACAAGGTGTTTCGATGGATAGTAGGTAAATTATTTACAATTAATTTTGTCAAGGGGTTTGTGTTCGCGGCTAATTCTATGCTATAACGAATGCTGAATGCAATGCTACAACAGATAACAGAGACACTTAGCATTTACCGTGATCAATGACAGAAGCGATATAACCCCTAGTCAGATTCCAATAAATCCTGCCAATATACCACACCAGCCTCTCTTTAGATCCTGTAACTGATTGACACTTTCAAACTATGTTTCTAATAAACACATTGTTGATATTAACCACAGCCAATCAGAAACAAGAATCGCACGAGGTGGCTCTCGCCAGTCTCTCCACGAGCCAATTAGGAACGAGGTTGGTGTGAAGATCTAGTTATTTGGTGTGTGTGGTCGGAAAGATACGAGGAAAGAGGCGGTGTTTAAAATCTAACAAATTATTATTTTTATTACACCCTGACTTGACGCTAAGTTAATATATCAAGTAGTAGACCATGATATATGCACGTAGTTTGACGTACCACTGTCATGTGTATTCGCCATTGAATTATATATATGCTTTATGAGTGATCCGACATTATTGTGAGATATCAGATAATATTCATGCATAACTGAATAATTTTAAAGTGTTTTGAAACCAGGACAGTATTTGTTAGTGTATTCATTTGGATTGTGGAATCTCAAATCGACCTGGGAACTTGTCTTTCAGATGCAATTGTAAGCATTAAGAACTTTATATTCGGAGGTGGTTTTTTTTGTAAATTAAGGAGAATTTTAAAAAGGAACTCTAAAAACTGTCTTAGATATTTACCAAGATAACGGAAGAACTCACACCTTGCAATGTTGCTTTTATAAGGAATCAGAAAGTTTGTAAACGGGAGTATCTTGAGCTGTCCGATGATGAATCCACTTCTATACCCTATAACAGAAAAGGGAACTCGAAAACCCAAATGTGCTCGTTGTCGTAACCATGGCATGGTGTCCTGGTTGAAGGGGCACAAACGACACTGTAGTTTCAAAGACTGCGATTGCGCAAAATGCAACCTCATCGCCGAAAGACAAAGAGTAATGGCGGCTCAAGTTGCACTAAAACGTCAACAAGCTGCTGAAGATGCTATCGCCATGGGAATCAGGGCCTGTGTTTCAGAAAATGGACTACCTATAATGACAGCTGGTCCTTTATGGGGACCCGGGACAGTGACGGCCCCTCATACAGAAATGGAGCATAAAAATAAATCGGATGATTCCGACGACGATGATGGTATGTATAGGGTTTTATTTTAGTTATTGCACAGTTGATAAAGTTTTGAAACCTTGAATAGTATATACTCAAATCAAATACTTTTCCTTTGTGTAAGCGAGAAAAATAGAACACAGGCTGTACAAATATTCCTTGTGATATGCAATTTAGAATTATTCATTTGAGAACATCAAACAATCAAATGCATGATCGATTTTATGAAAAACAATTAAAGCCATCATCAGGCTGTACAAATATTTCTTGTGATATGCAAATTAGAATTATTCATTTGAGAGCATCACAAAATCAAATGCGTGGTCGATTTTATTTTTAAAAAATTAAGGCTGTCATCAGAAAGGTAGACATGCATTTATATGTTATTTCTGGTTAACTGATATTTTGATTTGGCGATCATGTCACCAAGGAAACTAGAATAAACCAACAAAAACACATGTTTCATGATTCGAGATTTGATCATAATTTATGTATTTAAAAACACATTTATATACAGCTCAGTGAACGCTTACGGCTAGCCTCCGGATCCATTCACTTAATCTGATATGTAGGTTTGTTTGTGATTTCTGCGTATTGTGTCTTGTGTCTTGTCCGTGGTTTTGTTTTCTGTAGGCCTAATTATGTGTGGTGCAGTCCCCCTGCACTTTGACTGTATATTGTCGTTGTCTTTACAAATAAAGTATTTTGAGTTTTAATGTATCTAATGAGTAATAAAAATTAGTTCTATTTTCGCCTAGTTTGTTTTAAGTAGGTTGTTCAAATGGATGGATGGGTTGTATTTCGATATAAACAGTACAATAAACGTTATCTTTTGTAGAAGTTAGTTTTATTATATCAAATAGTTCTGACCACTTTCAGACTTTGATTCCATGAGAGTTATTTACCATTTCGACTACTATACATTATTCTAAAAATTAGATAAAAACAAATATTCTGAAAATATATAATGCCAAATTGTTATAGATTAAGTAATCCATTATGTTCTAAAAGTTGAACAATGAGACTGAATAGAGTTCAACTTCACGGAAACTTAGGTTTCCTGATTAGGCGTGTTCAGATCTAGGCCGGTTCTTCAGTAAAAAAAAACAACCTGAAAATAATTTATATGGAAAACAATCACTGATTTGTACACATATATCATGAGGTTTTGTCAAGTTTTTTTTCAAAGATTACGACTCTTCGGTGTTGGCGTTGCATTAAAGCATGACAAAAGGATGATCCAAACATTTTTACAATTAATGTTCGAGTGTTAGTGAAAATGATCGGGCTATATCTTTATAATAAACTTGACAATGCATAATTTCTTTCGTCTACCCATATATTAAATAGGCCTATATAATATTAAAAATAAAATGTTTATTTTTATTTTTGATAATTTCTTTACAAAACCAGAACATTTAATTAATACGGTCTCAAAATATTATTTTTTTTAATTAATGTCTCGTTTCTTTGTCTATTTCTTTCACAATTATATATAAAATACATATAGATACATAATATTCACTGTGTACGTTTATCTATGTCTACTATACCCTAGTATTATAGGGTGTTTTTTTTTTATTATTATTTATTTCATATCTCTTTTTGTTTCTGCCTGCCACCTTGATACAATATCAAAACAGAATATTTCTTTGGTAACTATTAAATGTGATATTTTCAAATATTAAAATATTGTGGATATTAAAAAGAGAAGTTTTCTCTGATATTTGCCTCCACTATACATTCGATTATTACCAATTGTAAAATATATTATTAACAAATTAAACAACCGTTCGTGTAATTTGCTGCATTTGTTGTAAATAAAATAAAACTAAGTACGAACAATCCAAACCATTAGACAAAATTCGAAGTCCTAAAAAAAACGGTATAAGCAAAATGGTGTAATCAGCAAATGGACTGTTCACCATGTACAAAATACATCACAAACAAGCACAAGATAAGAAATTTAGAATACAAATATTTGATAATTCAGACATTGTAAGAAATTGAAATAAATAATTTAAGGTACCGCGGTGAGGTGGGGTCGTAATTAGTTGTTTTTCTCTTGGATTTTAATTTGCTGGGATTTGTTTTGGTTTTCGTTTCGTGTTTTTGTTTGTTTATTTATTTAGTTTTTATATTCTTTTGTAAACTGATAGAATACGAGACTGGTTTAACTATGTTATATTTGTTAGCTGGAACGTAGCAGAGCTTTTCTACATTTAATTTGTTCTGTAATATTTTATTTTTATATTTAAATTTAAAAAAGAAAATCCCAATAATACAGATATCATTTCAATCACGTCATAAATAATGGGATTTAAAATAGAGTGTTAACGCTGCTTAAGGTTATGCAAATATGATATTTCTTTTATAAACCTATATAGTTAGGCCACATCAAATTAATGTTTAGTTCGTGGGAGTTCTTTATAAATAAAAAAACTCACCCAGATGATGTTAAGATTTCAAAAAAATCAAACTTTTTGGAAGTAATAGTTTTTGTAAAGAACAACTAAGAAGTTTTTGGTTTTTAAATTAGTTTTTTCCTGAAGAAATTGTTAATGGGTTTTCCCGAAGAACAGAAATAAAATAATTATGGCCTTAGAGATATTCAGATGATGGAATATATGTTGTATTTATATATGTATCTATGCACCAGCCTGGTTATCATTTTCTACCATCCCTGCTATAGAAACAAATAAAGTCTTGTCGGAATTGATAAATAAAATATTAAATAAATTGTAACTTGTTAAATGTTTCATAACTGTAAATAAAGATATACATGTGTAATAATTTCAATATTTGCTGCAAATTTAAATGTATTTTTTTAAACATATGATAAAGTGAAGAACACGCCAAAAGAAATGTACTCAAAGTAGAGAAGTAAACAACGTTTTCATTTTATTTTGTAACAAACCGAAAAAACAATAATTGTCTCTCAAAATTCCAAATAACAAATTTTCATAGACTTAGATATTTAAAAAATTTAAAAAAAAACAAACAGGGGTATAACAAATGATTTTATTCGCGAATAACGAATTAAATAATGTATCATCAGTGGCCTCACTAATCCTTTATATGCACCTTGACTTTGATCATCTTGTTGTCTTGCATGGTTCCTGATTTGTTGTTATTGCTTGTCTATATATAATTGCCCTACATATTTGTTACTGTCCATAATATCATATTTATTGTATTGGACGTTAAATCTGTAATAAGCAACAACAACATTTGTTACTGTACTTGCTTGAAAATGTAGTGAGATTACTCTTCGAAACGTTACCCAAATAAATCAGTAATTGTTCTTTCGTAAGTCGTGTTATAGTTTAATGTATCGTGTAGGAAAGTAATTAGGAAAAAGGAGATGCATGAGGGTGTGCAAAATAATAATTTAGATAAGAGTAACACGCGATTTAAAAGGAAAGTAACAAATTAAATAATGCATTAGGTCGTCGAGCAAAACTTTTTACAGGAAAGTAATATATAAAATGTTGTATGAAGCTGTGCAACAATTGATTCAGGGAAGGGTAACAATATAGAAAATATTTCTGTTTATGTAACAAATAATTTTATTGGAGAGTAAACAAATATAAAAAATAATTCGTCTCGTGTAACAAATAATTTTGTTAGAGAGTAACAAATTAAATTACGTATGAGAATTGTGTAACTTGTTATTTATAACAAATTAAACAACATTATGTATTAATGAAAAAGTATTTTTTATAAAGTTTTTCATCTAATTACAAGTCTATTTTCATCCTTACTTTCAGTCGAAATACTTTCTTAAATGAATAAGTGTGCGTTTAAACATTTCACATCCAGAAATCATTTCATTCAGTCGAAATACTTTCTTGTATTATAAATAACAAATACGAGTTTGCTTTAAAAGTTGCGCATCTAACTATAAGTGTATAGAAATCATTTCATTCAGTCGAAATATTTTCTTGACAAAATGTATTTAGATGACCTCTCTTACTATATTATAGTAACTGTTTGCTTTCTATCGATTATATTTTGATCAATTTGCCTATATTTTAATACAGGAAAATGTGACTAATTTCTTGATCCAAATAATAGTATATCTTTTGTATACGATTGTTTGTACGATGATGGACATATTCTATGCCACAATAAACATACAAAGGGATTGGAGTAAAAAGTTAACATTAAACACTTTATTGTTTCCTAAATAGAAGAGGGTATATTTTTGTTTTAAAATAAAAACAGTTAGCCCGTACGTTTACCAACAAACTGAATCACGACAATATACAATGTAATGCATCACGTTTTGGGAGTCCAGTCATTGATACTGGCAAAATTCTTCCGATGGTATTAAATTACCTACACCCCTGTAGTACTCCCACTCTCTCTGTGTTATTAGTAAGTTTTGTATCGGGAATATCAGCGAAAGTCCATTACCGGAGAAATTGATTCGAGTAAAACATAAAAAGTGCCAATTACATTAAATGTTTTCTGTTTCTTTTTTTTCAATTGTTCTTTTCTAAATAGACATCGTTCTTTATGCATTAAAATAGCTGTTTCCATAAACCAATGTTGAAATTGGGAGTTATACTAATAATAATAATACCCAATTGTGAAGGTGTATCAGATGTCCTGGAGAGATTAAGTACACACTGCCTCGCACACTACACCTGTCAAACTATATAATTATATAAATATCGCTATTGGAGTACTGCTAAAGACCTCCATGCGCAAGCGTATTGTTGAAATCATAGTGAAGCATATGTTAGTCCCGAAATGACCTAGTCGAAGGACGTACCCCCCCCCCCCCTCTCTCTCTCTCTCTTTATCTAGTCGTTCCAATGTAACGAAGAACTGATAACTAGTATGCTTACAACTTGCCGCTCTCCCCCACAAAATTCTGAAAATAGACATTATTCAATTGTATTTCAAAGCCTTTTTATTTATTTTACTCCCCGCGTTGCATCCATTACCTTGACGTCGACAACCAAAACATATAAATATTGCTCAGGTATATGAACGCTAAACAATGATTATGTAGCTAG